AGAAGGAGAGGGAGAGGGAGAGGGAGAGAGGGAGAGGGAGAGAGGGAGAGGACCTTCATGCCTCCTTCTCCTGGCACGGGAGAAAAAAAACCCACGTATTTTTTATTTCTATAAGAAAACCGTATTTTTTATTTCTATTTAAAAAAACCCGGATTTTTTATTTCTATAAAAAAATCGTATTTTTTATTTCTATTAAAAAAACCGTATTTTTTATTTCTATAGAAAAACCCGTAATTTTTATTTCTATTAAAAAAACCCATATTTTTTTGTTTCTATAAAAACCTCCATATTTTTATTTCTATAAAACCCCCGTATTTTTTATTTCTATAAAACCCCCGTATTTTTTATTTCTATTAAAAATCCCGTATTTTTTATTTCTATAAAAACCCGTATTTTTATTTCTATAAAAAACCCCATATTTTTTATTTCTATAAAAAACCCCGTATTTTTTATTTCTATTAAAAACCCCTTATTTTTTATTTCTATTAAAACTCCCGTATTTTTTATTTCTAGTAAAAACCCTGTATTTTTTATTTCTATAAAAACCCCATATTATTTATTTCTATAAAACCCCATATTTTTTATTTCTATAAAAACCCGTATTTTTTATTTCTACAAAACCCCCATATTTTTTATTTCTATAAAAACCCCATATTTTTTATTTCTATAAAAACCCCATATTTTTTATTTCTACAAAAACCCCATATTTTTTATTTCTATAAAAAACCCCATATTCTTTATTTCTATAACACCCCATATTTTTTATTTCTATAAACCCCCATATTTTTTATTTCTATAAAAACCCCATATTTGTTTATTTCTATTAAAAAACCCCTTATTTTTTATTTCTATAAAAAACCCTGTAGGTTTTTTATTTCTATTAAAAAACCCGTATTTTTTATTTCTATAAAAACCCCATATTTTTTTATTTCATAAAAAAACCCATATTTTTTATTTCTATAAAAACTCCATACTTTTTATTTCTATAAAACCCCGTATTTTTTATTTCTATAACCCCCCATATTTTTTATTTCTATAAAACCCCCATATTTTTTATTTCTATAAACCCCCATATTTTTTATTTCTATAAAAACCCCATATTCTTTATTTCTCTAAAAACCCCATATTTTTTATTTCTTATAAAAACCCCATATTTTTTATTTCTATAAAACCCCCATATATTTTATTTCTATAAAAACCCCCATATTTTTATTTCTATAAAAACCCCATATTTTTTNCCCCATATTTTTTATTTCTATAACACCCCCATATTTTTTATTTCTATTAAAAACCCCATATTTTTTATTTCCATAAAAGCCCCCATATTTTTTATTTCTATAAAACCCCCTATTTTTTATTTCTATAAACCCCCATATTTTTTATTTCTATAAACCCCCATATTTTTTATTTCTAATAAAAAACCCGTATTTTTTATTTCTATAACACCCCCGTATTATTTATTTCTATCAAACCCCCATATTTTTTATTTCTATAAAACCCCCATATTTTTTATTTCTATAACCCCCCATATTTTTTATTTCCATAAAAACCCCATTTTTTTTATTTCTATAACACCCCCATATTTTTTATTTCTATAAACTCCCATATTTTCTATTTCTATAAAACCCCATATTTTTTATTTCTATAAACCCCTATTTTTTATTTCTATAAAAACCCCCTATTTTTTATTTCTATAAAACCCCCCCTATTTTTTATTTTTATAAAAAACCCCATATTTTTTATTTCTATAAACCCCCATACTTTTTATTTCTATTAACCCCCATATTTTTTATTTCTATTAAAACCTCATATTTTTTATTTCTATAACCCCCCTTATTTTTTATTTCTTTTAAAACTCCCGTATTTTTTATTTCTAGTAAAAACTCCGTATTTTTTATTTCTATAAAAACCCCGTACTTTTTATTTCTACAAAACCCCCATATTTTTTATTTCTAGTAAAACCCATTTTTTTTATTTCTATAACACCCCCATATTTTTATTTCTATAAAAACCCCATATTTTTTATTTCTATATAACCCCATATTTTTTATTTCTATTAAAACTCCCATATTTTTTATTTCTATAAAACCCCATATTTTTTATTTCTACAATCCCCCTATTTTTTATTTCTATAAAAACCCCGTATTTTTTTATTTCCCTGCCCCGCAGGAGGGTCTGTCGCAGCAGGCTCGGGCGCTGCGGCAGCAGGTGAAGCGCCACTCGCTGCGGGAGAAGCTGAAGCTGGCGCACAACTTCCTGCACAGGCTGCGCTTCCTGGCCGACGAGGTGGGAAAATCCCAAAAAACCCCGGGGGGGAGAAAGAGCCGGCTTTGGGGTCCTTGGGGCAGCCAAGGGATTTGTTCCTNATTTTTTATTTCTATTAAAAACCCCATATTTTTTATTTCTATAAACCCCCATATTTTTTATTTCTATAAACCCCATATTCTTTATTTCTATAAAAACCCCCATATTTTTTATTTCTATTAAACCCCCATATTTTTTATTTCTATAAAAAACCCCCATACTTTTTATTTCTATAAAACCCCCTATTTTTTATTTCTATAAACCCCTATTTTTTATTTCTATACCCCCCCCATTTTTTATTTCTACAAAACCCTCATATTTTTTATTTCTATAAACCCCCCTATTTTTATTTCTATAAAACCCATATTTTTTATTTCTATAAACCCCCCATATTTTTTATTTCTATTAAAAAACCCGTATTTTTTATTTCTATAAAAAAATTCCATATTTTTTTATTTCTATAAACCCCCATATTTTTTATTTCCATAAAAACCCCAATATTTTTTATTTCTACAAAACCCCATACTTTTTATTTCTATAAAACCCCATATTTTTTATTTCTATAAAAAACCCCATATTTTTTATTTCTATAAAAAACCCCGTATTTTTTTATTTCTATTAAAAACCCCATATTTTTTATTTCTATTAAAACCCCATATTTTTTATTTCTATAAAAAAACCCCTATTTTTTATTTCTATCAAACCCCCATATTTTTTATTTCTATAAACCCCCATATTTTTTATTTCTATAAACCCCCATATTTTTTATTTCTATAACACCCCATATTTTTTATTTTTTTAAAAACCCCATATTTTTATTTCTATTAAAAACCCCGTATTTTTTATTTCTATTAAAAAACCCGTATTTTTTAATTTCTCTTTAAAAAGCTGTGGTTTTTTATTTCTATAAAATCTCCATATTTTTTATTCCTATTAAAAAACCCATATTTTTTATTTCTATAACACCCCTTTTTTTTATTTCTATAATACCCCTATATTTTTATTTCTATAAAAACCCCATATTTTTTATTTCTATTAACAAACCCGTATTATTTTTTATTTCTATAAAACCCCGTATTTTTATTTCTATAAAAACCCCATATTTTTATTTCTATAATACCCCCATATTTTTTATTTCTATAAAAAAAACCCATATTATTTATTTCTGTAAAACCCCAATATTTTTTATTTCTATAACCCCCCCATATTTTTTATTTCTATAAAAAAAACCCA